TGAAAACCCATTTCAGTGTTACCCTGACTCACAGGCCCCACATCATGTGGCCCTGGTTTCTGCACCCCTACTGGCTCACTCTGCACTGGCAACATCATTCTCCAGGGATGACCTTCACACAAGACCTGCTCTCGGGATTTTGTACTTGACCTTTGTACTTGCTGCACACTCATCTACAAAGTTTATAATTTTTGAGTAATCATAGCGGTTTTTGCACACAACTGGTTTCTGTGATGAGAAACTGCCACCAACGTGCATCTTTTTATATTTCTCATCTCCTTATTACACAGGCACTTCAAAGACCTATGCTTTTGCTTCTCTGCCACCCTTCTTCATACAGAAGTACAGAGTACAGATACCCCCCGACTTTCCATAGGGTTATGCCCCAATAAAATCAATGTTGAAAATCTTAAGTCAAAATTGCATTTAATACAAGGGAAGCTAGCCTACCTCAAACATACACCTACAGTAGCCTACAGCTGGGCAAAATCACCTCACTGCTGCTTCCCAGCACCATGAGAGAACATCATACTGCATATTGCCAGCCTGGGAATAAATCAAAATTCAAAGTTTGATTTCTACTGAATGAATATCACTTTCACACCATTAAGTAGAAAAATCCTAACTTGGGAACTGTCTGTCCTTGTTTAATGTCCATTTTTAACCTTAATGGGTATGGTTGGGTTTACTTTTATGATATCAGGGCTCCCCAGATGTACTTACTGTAAAGCAATTCTTACTTTATGAATATATTAAAGGCAAGCAACTTATCTCAGAAACAAGAACACGAGAAACACCCTTTTTTAAAGAAAGCAAAACCAATGATTTACTTAAGAGTAATTTTTTATAATTCTCTGGGATGGGAAGGGTAGGGTGCAGTCCTGTAACATTTCATGTAGATGGTGATTTAGATGTGTTTCAAAGAAAGTTGGGGGAAAAAGATGAGTACAATTAAAAATTTTATGAAAAACTTGTATGATAGGACTACGTGCTACGTGTGTGCTGGGGACACAAAACACAGCTGAGATCGTTCCTATTGTTAAAAGAGTTCAGGATAGAAGACTGGTGGGTGGTGCAGAGGGAAGGACGAAGATCGCCCTGTAACTACATTTTGACAAGATCTTTAGGGCAAAAAAGTAGATGACAAATAGTCTAGGGACAGGGAAGAACATCAGGAAAGTATAGGTACTTGTGTTTTGCTACTTAAGAAACAAGGTGTGTGGACAGCTCAAGAGCAGCCTAGGAACACCAGGGCCAGAGTGAAAAGACGAGGGGGCTAGAGAAAAGGGAGAAATTTCAGACACGTCAGAACCAGCAAATGATGTTAAATTCCCCATTTAGATTAACTAAGGTTGGTTGGACAGAATACCATTGTGACAGGAAAGCTGTTTTGGGGGCGAGCGAGGAATAAAACATTTTAAGTTGGAGAACTTTTCTTCAGGACATGGCATCCATATCAGGTTCTTGCCTGATGATATGCAACTACCCACATTAGGTCCTTGAAGGCCAAGTAATATAAGAGAAGGTTTTTCTACCTCAGCTTAACTTGCCTTATTAAAGTATTTTCATACTGCACTGAACTGGAAAGGGAATGCAGGTACTCCCACTGATATTTTGCCTTAAGCAAACATTAAAGAGAAATCTCAAAAGCAATTTAAAAGATTTAATGACAAGGATTACCAACAGGACTGACGCAGAACTTCTATGGCCTTGGATCATATTATCCAAGCACACAAAACCCTGTCATTTAGCCCTTCAAATCAGCTCATTTTAAATTTTGCTGTGTGTTAATATCATGTGAAAAGTACTAAGGAATATAAGAAGGGCTTCAACAGACTCACTTATCCACAGCAGCTTAAACTAGTGGAGAAAAGTCATACAATCTATAACACACAGAAATTACTTTAAAGATCATAATAAAGGAAGATGGGTCTGGCATTTATCTAACCAGCTACTAATACAGTTGCTTAAGGCTGCGTAAACAGCTTGTTGAGCTAAGACAGTTTTATGGTAGGAGGGCAGCCCCAGTAAGGAGAGGTGCTCCTGGGGCAAGCAGATCCCCTGTGAAAAGAAAACTTAAGAGTATCAGCAGAGCATGTTGGACTTCTTCCTGCTAGGAACAAGTAAGATGTGGAGACACCCCTTTCTGATCTCCTTCTCTCTTCCCAGAGCTTCAGGGGTCCTTCATTTAAATTAGGTTAGTTGATGGGTCTATGTACTCAGGAAAGCATCCAAAAGTTCTTGACAGTATGTCCTTATTAATCATACAACTTGAGGTTCAACAACTCCAGACTCCTGGTAACTCTAAAGCAAGTGCCAGCTGTCTCTATTTCTATCTTTTCTGAAAATGCCCAGTCTTTAATCAGGACTTATTTTAATTGAAGAATGAAGAAGCACTAAGATACACCAGGCTGCAAGATAAAGGTGACCTGTGACATAAACTAGCAGCTTTAGTGCCTATCTTTACTCTCTGCTCTCCTTCTGGAAATGAACATGTTAGTGTTTCCATAATCTTTTAAAGATCAGTCTTTTTAGAGAAACTACTATATAAAGAAATTTTTACATTATAATCTATGAAAAAGCTTAATATCTATCTAATTTAGTATTCAAGTCTACAGGAAAAAAAATCAATGACAACTGCTTTATTATTAAAAGTTGCTGAATTCCATGAAGCACACAATGTAATTTATATTCAACTAACAAAAGTTTGATACATGTATTTAAAAATATATAATATATAGGTTTTTAATCTATCTTTTAACACATATTCTATTTAAAAAGCCACAGCTTTACATATTTTACAACTTGGGTTTATAAAATATATACATCCATCCTATTCAAACTTTCAAGCACAAGCTTCCATTTTTATTAATAAAATGTACAATCTGTATTTCTGAATATTGAGAGGAAAATGGTACAAACTAAAAACAAATCCGTTTTGACTTACACATGCACTTAATTCTTGGCTACTTAGATAAATTTAATAATCTATTCAAATAATTAGTTTCATTTACGTGAACCATCTGTCATTACTATGAAGACGACTGCATTTTTATGGTGCCTGACACAATCTACCGAATTCCTTACCAATCTTGCTCCAGGCTTTAGAACCAGAGAGGCAGGATTATTTCATCTTTCCATGGACCAGGAAACCTAAGTAATGTCACAATGAACAAGCCAAAGCCCAGTATTTTTGAAACCATGCTCCTGCCTTTGAGAAAACAGCTTAGAAATATTATAAGAATAAAATTTCCTCAAAAACCTGACAGTGTAGGTGCCAAGAATCGGAACAAAAACTATTTCCCCTTTTCCTAATCAACTGCACTCCACTTGTAAAGATGGAGTTCATTAGGTATTCTGGCATTCCTTACAATATTCAAAATGAGTTCAGATATTAATATTTTTATCAACAAAAATCTTTCATAAAAATATACTCCTGTAATCATTCTAAAGGTTCATCCTCAAATATAAATTCCAACATAACATTTTCTAATTAAAACCACAGTCAATACCATAGAACCAGAACTTTAACTTGAGGGAGACAGATGTAGTTGGAAGGACACGTTTAAATTCTATGGGCCTCTAATGATAACGATAAATGAACACAAGGTTTATACTCAGAAAGCAAAAGTCTCCCACAAAGCATTATTATTTTTCAAAGAGATTCAAATCTCAGGGAGATCTGGAAACTTAAATGAAAATACACTTTTACCAAAAAAAGTGATTTAATTCAAGTGGACAATAATTAGGCTTTATGAGAATCACCATCCAAAAGTAAACAAAATTCCTTCAATATTAGTATTTAAGAACTAAATTATAAGTAACAGCTCAGCAACTGTATCAAGTAATTGTTGAACAAATTTAGCCATCCCCCGATAAACTAAAATTACATAGTTATCAGAAATTCTGTGTACTTCATTTGTAGGAAGAAGTCTTTATATTAAACAATTCTGACAAGAGGTAGAAATTGTAATAATCTTCCTTCTCTAACCTCAAGAAAAGGAAAGGAAAAGTGAAATAAAGGGAAAACAAAAGGGGAAAGGAAGGAAGAAAGAAAAGGAGGAGAAAAACTTAGAAATTAGAAACTGCTAAAAACTGACACACTATACTATCTGTGAAGAGACAGGAAAAAAAAAGTAAAAACCAAACGAAACAAACAACAAACCCTGACTGCTAAGAGGACTAGGGCCAGTTGGTGCAGATTAAAAGACACCTTCTTCACAAAGCTTCATCATGCAACAGTATTAGCCAAACCGAACACTACAGCAGCTGACTTTGATAATAATGAATCCTCAGAAAAGAAACGTGATTAAGCCTCAGTTCTTGAAATATAAGCAGCAGTAACCATAGAGCCTTAGAACTAGTTACACTGGATTCTTTATTTTAAAAAAAGTTAATATAGTTCCTCCTCTTCTATTTTTAGGAAGAAGCTTCAACAAGTTTTAGATATGTCAATTCTCAAAAACAACAGGCTTTAAAAAAAATAAGACCTGATTACCAGAAACAAGTAATAGGTGGTTACATACCATTTTCATATCACTACTCACTTCTGTTATTTGTCAATTCATCTTTGATGCAATCTGGGAACAATCAAGCAGTCACTAGATACCTATTTTAGAACCTGAAAAAAATTATTACCCACTGCTGCAGGAATCTAACGATATATATATATTTAAAATTTCAGAAGGGAGTAATAAACTATTCTAGTTACTTTATATGAAATATCTGTATACCTAGGTTAATAAGAATTAGGATCTTTGTCCAGGTGAACTGTATAGAAAAACTATTTTTAGCATTTCCCCCATGGGGATTTAAAAAAAGCTTTATTTCCCTGCTAGCTAAAAGGAAGAATTTACACATTACAAGTAAAGTCCTTTAGAGGTGAATATTAAGTTCCTTAAGAGAACATCCATAAAATTTACCTTTAAAAATTTACGTTAAAAAAAAAACGAAAACCATTTCTCTTTAAAATCTATAGTATTAATACCTACTTGACATTATAGTTTTTTTCGAAAGGGCACCAAGTTCCTGATCTAAGCATGCAAAATAAAGAACTGAATGTATCACCTTCTTAACAAAATTTGGCAAATCAGAAGAATGGCCTTAAAATAAATAAATAAATAAAAAACAAGAAAGTACACGTTGCCTGTAAATGAAAATATAATTCTGCAGGCCCACACAGCAGACTGTGTCCACTCAGGGAAGCAGGGAAGAGAGAAATAGTATGTTCCCATGTACATTTTTCTAGGCATCCTGGTTGTCCTTCAACAATGTATCAGATATATTTATTTTATGATTACAAAGCCCTTTACAGGGCAATGCCTCAGGTAAACAAACATTTTTATGTCTTTCAATACTGTAACTTACATTTATAATTAACTTGTTAAATCTAAGTGCAAAGGACTATTCAATGATTCCTAAGTTCAAGGGAGAAATTAAATAAGGTGTTATCTGATTGCAAATTATGAATGGCTGGTGTGTCTGTATTTCAGTATATTTCATCTTAATTTCTTCTCTTTAAACCATAAAATGTACTGAAATTATTTGGTTTTCCTTTACTTTCCTCTGCTTCATTTCAATGTTTATGGTGTTTCTATGTAGAGAGAGGTATGTTAAAATACTGCTATTCATATTTAAAAATTCAACTGAGGCCATATATGACCTATTATCAATAGTATAGCACTGTTAATCTTTGACCTGGTATATCGATTATTTTGGTGAATAAATGTCACAGGTCATTTTTTAATAAAAGGATTTTAGTAAGAGGACCAGCAGAATGAAATCTCCCCTCCCCCAACCCTCAAAATGATCAAGTCAATCAGTAGTTTAGAGCAGTTATGTAAAATATGAAAAATACATAATGCACAGCTGCAATTTTCGTATTAAAACTCAGTTAAAAACTAAGAGTAGTTCAAAGCATCCCAGAAAACATTTTCTATCTTGGTTAAAACAGACCAACAAATAAGACTGATAGAGACTACTGTGAGAACTTACGTATGCCTAGTCAAGACAGAACAAAAAATATTTTTAATTTTAAAAAGTGGTAATTGCTAACTAGCAGTATAAACAGTGTCCACAATTTGGTGGCTGGCTATAGTTTTAATTTTTTTTCAAGTTACTTCTAAAGCAGACATATTTTTGAAGTCTACCCACCCCTGAGTTCAGCAATTATACTTTAGAGTGTAAAATTATATGCCCTTAATTAACGACATGTACAAAGCTACAAAATGTCATCTATACATAGATTAAAAACAAATTTTAAAATATTCTTTGCCAATTACTGATTGGATGGTTTTTCTGGGATACATTATTTCAAACTTTTCAGCCAACTGGCTTTTATTTTAAGCCCAAATCAATTAATAAATTCATTGTAGGATATGTCAAAAAGAGTGCAACAACAGGCATTAGTAAAAATAACATTGTAGTAGAAACAGATTTTGCATATGTGAAAAGGTAATTTATAAAATACATTAATCACTTTTTAAAAAAGAGAACCTACTTGCAGTATCATTAACTTACAGGGTTCTGAGAATTGGACCTTTCAACAATTTTCTCCTAGAAAAATTTTATCTAGCTGTAAGCAAAGTCTTTTAAACAAGAAAACAAAACAAATCTCTCCATGAATAACTGTATGGTTGTGTGAAACAAATAAGCAAACATACCATTCATTCTATAGTGCACCTTTGCCTAAATTTTAAAATAAAAAATGTCCACACTCTTTTGTTAAAACATTAAGCCTCTGTCAAAAATGTATTTCTTATTTTAGGGTACAGGATTAAAGGACAAAAAGATACTTACAAGTAAAGAAAATTTACATGAAAAACAACAGAACTTTTCCGATTAAATTTGTAACATTCAAACTTGACTTAAAACATAATGAAAGAAACAAAATTGCAAACAAAAATGTTTATGGATTTTCTGAACATAAATAAATGAAATAGTGTTTAGGCAGCAGGGCTCATGCTGATGGCTAGCACGAAACAACAACGTGTACTCTACTTGGAAAAATCATTAATGTACAAACAAGCCCAAATTACGGACTGCAGCAGTTTAATCACCACTGCCATTTTACTTCCAAAATAAAGCATTGATTAAATCACTCATACCCTATATTACTCATACCTTTACTTCAACAATTAAGGAACTATATACAATGAATGAATTTATTTTCACCATAGGGATAACATATTGTACCTCTCTGCCAATGTTACTTGAAAACCTTCCATGTCAAAACAATTTGACAGCAGATATAAACAATTCAATAAATATGCAATGATCTTTCATTACAGTCCTTTAAAGATGCATGTTAATTCATGCTGTTAACCTTAGGATCACAGTGCATAGAATCCAAATAGAAATGAGTTGGGGTGACTTTCAAAGTAATGTTGGATCCCTCACTTTATTTATAATCCCACTAGAACCATTAAGTTCATTTCATAGGCCCTATCATGCATTAATCACTGGGTGGCAGGAGTTAATTAAAATTTTTCCTGTTACGACATCCATTGCCGGCAATGAATGTCCCCAAACCGCCAAGGAAATCATTGTTATTGCACAATACATGAGGACCTGGAACTTTTCCAAAAGCTTAAAAAAATAAAAATAAAAAATGGAATTATATTTGACATTTCCTGACACCTGCATTAATACTGTATGACTAATAAAAGCATGTCAGTTGCCTGGACTGAACCAGCGATCAACATGCGCCCAGAATGCACACGAGTAAAAATGCAGTAAAAGGAAGTAGTCTTCATTGCCTATAGGTCACTTCCAGTCAAAGGTTAAAGTTCAAAGACTGAATGATCAAAGTGCTCATTTTCTCAGTAGGACTATCTTCTGCTAGGAGGATGATAATAGTGGCATCAACAGGTATCATCTTAAAGAAAAGGAGAAAAAATATAATTAAAAAAGTCATGCATGTGTTAGTAAAATCTGTAAGATAGTCTACCATAAAAATAATTTAAAGTAGCAAGAACAACATGGTTTACAGGTCTGACTTGCCTCCCCCAATCCCTGCAAATAAAAAGTCCAATTTGTGTTCAATTATACAGTTACAAACAAATCAAGTCCTATTCTTTCAGGGAACTAGTAGTTCACACAAATCTTAAAATGATGTATTATTAGTATGTTATTTTTATTTAAAAGTAAATTAATATATGTTAGCACATTTTCAGATTTATCAGTCTTAAAAGAATTCTTTTATGGGAAACAATTTAAAATGGTAATGAGATAGAAAGTAAACTCCTGAGCCACGGTGTCATGCTATTTAACACAGAATGACCCAAGTCATGCCTTTAATCTTTGGAAGGTAGTAACTTCACAAATGACATACAACCTCCAAATCAAATTGTTATTAATGTCTCTAATTTAGAAGATGTTCTTTAGCAAGTACAGATCATATGCAAAGAAGGTCATTAAAATAATCCTACCAAATTACTTAGCAACACCTTCTGGTAGCCTCAATGCATATTTAATGTAACATGTAATATAATCTTCTGTGTTCATGACTTATTTTACAAAACTTATTTCACAAAGCATACCTTAAGGATTTGTTTTGAAAACTGGTTATTGTTCAGAAAGAAGTTAGACTAGTGGCACCTACTCAGAAGTTGTTAAAGCTCTATAAAATTCTAAAAAACTTGCCAAAATATTTTACAAGCCATCCTATGTTGGGATCAACATATTGCTAATAACATTCCCACTCATAAAGACTCAATGAGAGCTAAAAACCAGTAAACTGATTTCTATGTTGGGCAAACTGATGGAATATTCGGTGATCCTGCAACTTAAGGATAACCTAAAGGGTAAAATAACCTAGATTTTTAAAGTAAATCATATTTAAATCATTAGAATCCACTAAATAAATAATCTTTAAGAAAGCAAGTCAATAGTTTATAGCCTCTAAGTGTCACATGAAACTGTTTCTTAAAATACCATGAAAATGAAAAAAGAGGGTATATTATTAGTAATGGATGTAGAACAAACTTAAGAATATGAATAAGTTCCTTAAAATATCACTTCTTCAGTACTACATTTCTTAACACTAGTGTCCTTGAAATCAGTATCAAAACTAATCACACCTAAATCTCCAAGCTAAGAGGTGGCACTAAACTCTACCTAACATGTCAAACTACTGAGGATAAACTTTAGTATCATGCCACATGACAATGTATACACTAGGTGACAGATAAAAGTCAACTCAAACATAAAGTTACCCAGCAATAAGCTTTTATCTAAAAAAATGTCATGTTTGACAGGTGGTACCATAAATATATCTTTATCAGGTTATTCATTATGGAAATTTTCCAGGACAGTAGGCTGTTGCAGAATGTGCTATGAACATCCCAAATGACTGAGATATCTATGTGAAGCTATTCTCCCTACCAATTCTCACTTCAGGTCAGATGTTAAAAGAAATTAGTACAATACTATCTTCCTTAAAGAAGTATTCTCACAAAATAAAGTTATGAAGATGGAGTTCAATTAAACATTACAAATGCATGACAGCTATATGTACTCAAGAGTCTATGAGCACACAGGTAAGTATGGAGATAGGTATGAGCAAAGCCATGGCCACCTTTTCCTTAAAAAAAAAGGCCATCACCAAGAAGCAAAAAAACTCATCTGTTTTCAGAAGGAACAGTTTCCTGGCTAAATGAAAGGATTATTAGATATCAGAACTGGCTTACCAAAAAAAGTTGTTACAGTAAATCCATCTTGGATCAAGACCAAAATAAGTTTACAAAAGGTCCTGAAAAAACTCAATGTATTTAATCTCCTGGCTAAAGTATTTGTGGCAAGATGATGGCCTGGAAAAAAAACAATCTATTAACCATTTAAACTTTTCCTGAAACTGCAGAAGCCCCTACTAAAATTATACCCTCAAACAGAATATAGAAATTACCAGTTCCAAAGAGGTGGCACCTACCATGGCTAACTTCACTGGGTTCTGGGAAAAGTGAATGAGAGAGAACTATATTAGAAGAAGGTCATTTAGTTTAACCCAGAGTATAAGAACCATCACATTATATTGGAAACCATCTCCCTGGATATTCCCAGGGACAGAAGACTAGAAGAAAAGGAACGCAGTATAAGGTCAGTAGGTATGAAGTGGAATGCTACCTAGAAGGACAAAAATCAATCTCTACAGTTAGATTTGTCTCTCAAAAGTTTAAGGAATTAAGGTTTTCCTTTAATGAACAGATTCAAGAAAGACTTCAGCACAGATAACAGAATTGTTATAAAAAGCAAAAGACTGTTAAACTGAGTATAAAAGTTAGGACTCATGAATTTAGAAAATGGTTTTATAACCCTAAAAGGTAGTACAAATAAAAAGGTTCACAACTAACGGAGATAAGGAGAAAAGAAGTTTGTTATCCTATACTAGTCTGAAATAATTTTAGGTTCCTATCCCCTTATAATCCCAGAGGGAATGTTTCGGCTGAACGAAACCTGAATGCAGTATTACAACTGCAGAAGATATTCCTCTACCCCTCCCCAAATTGCAAACTCATCAGTTTACTGAATATACATCTACATATATGAGAACTTAGTTCCTATAAGCCTAGTTTTTTGGAGCCAATACTCAAGAGTAGCCTTAGGCTAATTGTTGTTCAATTCTCTACCACCTTAAGAAAAATGCTTCAGGAACCAGAGAACTGTACTCTCATCTGTGGAAAGCAGTAACTTATGAAACTTAGTTGTAAATGTTTAATATTTACAGAAAATATGTGGATATTATTAATGCATTCTAGCTGGCTATGTTATTGAAATAGGCTTATAATCTCAAAGACTTAAAAAAATCTTTTTCAAGAGCAATCATGTCTGCTTTAAAATAGAACTCTGAGGCTCAGTCATTCATTCACTTGTGCACTGAACTGGACACAGATCTGTTTTCTAAGGAAGATTCTAGCTCTAAACCACAGGTAAATCCTGCAGCCCACCCAGTATGCTGAGATAAACTGTCTGTCCAAATACCTATTGTGGTTCCCTTTAGTTTTTGAACCCTACTCTCTCAACTCAATTGTTTTTTCAAAGCATATGGAACCCTGCTTTAACTGGCAACACAGAATATCTGCATCCCAATGCAGTTATGACCTTAGTCAACTTCAAGTAAGCAACAGTAAAATATGTATGTTCACATATTAATATTAATGACTTTTACAGTGCATACCTAGGCCATCTGGTATAGCTATTGCTCTGGGCTACAAACAAGTATGGCATGTTACAGTCTGAACACTGTAGGCAACTATAACATAAGGGTATTATCTAAACATAGAAAAAGTATACAGTAAAAATATGGTATTAAAGATTATAATCTTATGGGAACATGGTTGACTGAAACATCATTATGTGGCACAAAACCGTCTAAGATATAATGTGTACAAAAGATGAAACAGTAGGGTAGTAGTAGTGACTGGTCTAACTTTTAAGGTATATTAAAAAAGATCACAAATTTAAGCTGAGAGAGAGGCTTTATTTCCCCCAAGAACCCGACACTGGTAGGATCTGGCAGCTCAATTCTGGTGTGTCAGCTGAGACCTGTTTTTTTTAAATCAAGAGATAAACTAAATTTTCCTTAATAGTGCCTGCATCTTGCATCCAGAAACCCCCTTTGAAGTACACATATATTACCAACCTAAATCCAAAACCTCTCCTGCCTCTCTGATTACACTTGACAAACACTCTAACCCATGCTGGTCCACGATGCTGGTTAGTACTGCCAAGCAGGACTGTGGAGCTCCATACCCGAGGGCTACAATTCTGCATGGTTTCTAGAAACTGAAATGTTACGTGTTTCAGGGAGTTTATCCAATTCCAAGCAAGTCTTTATTCAGTCTTTGACCTTTTTGTTTAGTTTTGCAGGTCACACTTTGTAATCCTATCAAAATTAGATGATACTAAGAAATAAAAAGACCATTATTTCTTGGTAACTTGGTGTTACAAAAAGAATATGGTCAATGAAAATCTTTTGGAACTACAGCAGCTAAGCAGAAAAACAACAACTGCAAAACTCTAAAACCTCATGTGTTCTGCTTTACAAGTGAGTATGATTACCTTTTAGGTAAGATTTTTGAACTTCAACTACAGTGCCAGGATGGGCTATTTTTCACATTGCCTATAACTATTCTTCTGAAATGTATAAAGAAGACAATATATGCCATAAAGTTAAAGATGAAGAAAAAGTTCAAAGATTTTCTGCACATACCTACCCACATTTATGGCAAAGCAGTTGCTCTATCATCTCCAAGTAGACACTAACATTACCCTTCCTTGATTTTGTATCAGGCTCACTCGTGGAGCAAAACTGTTTATTTAAGGGAGAATGTGGGTAAAGAATAGTTTAAGCATGCAGGGTTCAAGCAGGAACAAAGAACATATTAAGGTAAAAATGGTCACTGTCGGTTAATGAACTGAGGATGTTTTAAAGAGAATTATCTGTATATGAAACAACATCTGGCCCTCACTGGTATGGGTAAGTGGATTGAGTACTGGCCCATGAACTGAATCAGCTACTTTGATTCCCAGTCAGGGAACATGCCTGTTTCTGGCCAGGTCCCTGGTGTGGGATGTGCGAGAGGAAGCCAATCAATTTACCTTTTGCACATTGATGTTTGTCTCCTTCACTTTCTCCCTCCCTTCCCCTTTCTCTAAAAATAAGTAAAATCTAAAAAAAGGGGAAAAAAAGTTCTGTACCTGGGGCCAGGTTACAGTCCCAGGACTGAAACTGGACAATTTGTATTTCGGGGGAAGGAGAGGAAGAATGTATATTTTTAATCTGTTTATTAGGAAAATTAATTCTTATACAAACCCTAGACTATTTTTACATTTAGTAAAAGGTCAATTTTGTTTGAAAAGCTCCTTTTCTTGGCACTTTTTGACTAAATTGGAGATGATCCATCCTTAAACTATCAACAGACTTTTCTGGTTTAGTCATGAAAGTATGGATTTCTCAGTAATAGATAAAAACTATTAACTATCAAAATAATTCCTACCATTAAGTGTATTTTGTTTTAAAGAATTAACTTTTATATTTCTATTATCACTACGTGACTTTTCTCCATCTCTTATTCAAAAAGGCAGGTAATACGGAACTCTGGAAGTTATCTTAGATAAAGTACTTCTCCTAAGTCCGTTCAACTATATAAGGCACCATTAGAGAGGTTAAAAGATGATTCTCTTTTTTTTCAATCCTTGCATAAGGATATGCCTACTGATTTTAGAGAGAGAAAAGGAGAGGGGGAGGCAGGGACAGAGAGAGAAACATTGATGTGAAAAAGAAACACTGATCAGTTGCCTTCTGTACTACCCCAACTGAGGATTGAACTTGCAATGTTTTGGTGCATGGGACAGTGATCCAACCAACTGAGCCACCAGCCAGAGTGAAAGATGATGCTCTTTTTGAAAATTCCCTGCCAGGGAGTAAGGATGATAAAAATAGAAATATACCATCTAACACTGGGATGGAATACAGTGGTAGAGAGAGTTACACTTTGAAAACAGATATATTTTTAAAATTCATCACTCTAATACAATTTCCTCTCAAATTTTAAAACTTAGTTTAAAACATTAGAAAAGACAATGGAATTCTTCTATTATTAGTGAGGATAAGTCTGAAATAAAGTGACCACTATCTTAGGAGCTTAGACACTTTAAAGGCACAGAAGAAAGTGGCAGCACAGTGTTTGGTCCTAAAAGGCAAGAGGATGTAAAAGAATGAGAGGTCAGCCATGTAAATTGAAGGGCTGTTTAATTAAAGTGGGGTCTTGTTAAAGTTTTAGTGGAACTTCAGTGCTCAGAAAGAATTCCTTAAGTCTGATTATCAGTCTATCTTATTTGAAAAGTTGTCCTTTTATAACTAAGAATCTCTGAAACAACTTCTCCAGTGACCTGCTGTATCAGAATGACCTGGGGCTATCTTAAAAACTAAAACAAAACCTGCATTCTAGTCTCAGTAATAAAGTTTATTAGATTCCTTAAAGGGGGAGCAATCAACAAGGCTCTGGTGAAGGAGTTCCCAAGAAGACAGGGGTGCGTGGAAGGGTTCATTCCCGGCAAATAGCACCTGTAGAGACAACAACGTGGAGGATACGGGACAAGGTGTATATTATAACTAATGCTCCACAGAACACTTCATGTATAAAATGTTTTCTTTGTATTAAAGATGATTGTCTTAGGAAGAAATCTCAGAGGTTCAGAAGCTTTGTAACAATGACTTTCCTGGGAAGAAATCTCAGAAGTATGTGAGACAAAAGGTTGATCTTAAACTTCAAGCTTGTTTAAAGTGCTGAACTATTTCCTTAAAGGACTACATTAAGTTGCTGTGCCACCAGCAAGTAAGAAAATACTATTTTATTCTACCCAATACTCTATTAGAGCACCGCACTCATTTACAAAACTGCCAATTCAACAAGTTTCAAATATTAAATTTGTAATTATTTCAGTGTGTTGAATTTATCCACCCATGCTTTTATTATATGTATGCTTAAGCAACTTTCATAAATCATCTTTATTTTTAACAATCTATGTTTAACTTTAACTACATTTAACAATTCTTTTAGCTCTATAGTAACTGTGACTTGAAGTTTTTTGGTGCTTTTATAAAAGGTTTTACATTTCAGACAACTAAATGTTTAATTTTATTATAATTCCCTTTAATTTCAGATATTTTTCCTCCCTCCAGAGATAATACCCAACTTAAAAAAAATACTTTTTCGCCCTGGCTGGTATAGCTCAGTGGATTGATTGAGCCTGGGCCTGCAAACCAGAGTATCGCAGTTCGATTCCCAGTCAGGGCACATGCCTGGGTTGCAGGCCAGTTCCCAGCAAGGGATGCATGAGAGGCAACCATACATTGATATTTCTCTCCCTCTCTCCTTCTCTTCCCCTCTAAAGATAAATACAGTATTAAAATACACACACACACACACACACACACACACACACACATACATACCCCCCTTTTCTACTGTTGCATTAAAAATTGCTTAATTTAATCCACAGGAAATATTCCATACATGAAATAAAAATGTAAGTCTTTCTTTCCCAAAATGATTACCAATTTTCTAACAAGGTTACTTACAAAACAATTTTTTCTCTTTTCACTGATTTGTGTGACACCTTATTCATCATATAAACACATATTATTACGTAAAAAGGCCTACAAAAGAGTAATTGCATTTCAATGTCTATTCTTGCACCAATATTTTGGTGTCTGGTAGATTAATTCTCCACTATCTTTTAGTGCAAAATTCAAGCTGATTTTTTCAAAACTTTTAAAACACCCATCCCATCATTCCACTGGATTTTCACTGACTTACATTAAACCTTTAATTTGTAAAGAATATACATTTTTTAGCCCTGGATGGTGCAGCTCAGTGGATTGAGCACGGGCCAGTGAAGCAAAGGGTCGCTGGTTCAATTCCCAGTCAGGGCACATGCCTGGGTTGCAGGCCAGGTCCCCAGTGGGGGACACATGAGAGGCATCCACACACTGATGTTTCTTTCCCACTCTTTCTCCTTCCCTTCCCCTCTCTCTAAAAATAAATAAATAAAATACTTGTTAAAATTTAAAAAAAAAAAGACTATACATTAAAAAAATAATACTGGTTTCTCATCAAAGTTTTTTTTTTTAAATATAGCTCTTAAAAGTTTTGTTAGTTATTTCTTCTTCTGGGTCACCTGCATTTCTCATTAACATTATCCCAAATATGCATATTTTGGCAGCTCTTGGGAATAGCTTTCTTCTTTCACAGTATTTACTAACTTGTGACTGCTGGAACAGTGCTATTCTATTGCACTGACTCCAGTCACGTTTCATCTCAACACCTAGAGAACTCCTATACTTTAAAGAAGTTTTTAATTGACTCACTAAGATAACAGGTTTCATAATAGAAAGAAAGATAAGAGGGAAAGGCTCCATTCCTATTAATTTGTTTTGTCAGTTTTAATTTCTTATTAAAATAATGTTTAAAAAAACAGAGGAAATGCTCTTATGTATACAAAATCACAGGGGGTGAGTTTTGTACAGCTGTTTTAAAAAGTACATAGAGGAATATAAACTTTTTGTTTTTAATATTAAACATCTCTTTGGTGATGTGGTAAGGTCAGTTAAGAAAAGATGCTAGCACCTTTATAAAAGTTACCATTCCCCTACCAACAAACAACAACAGAAATTTAAAATTATTTAGAGTACTGTTTATATAAACTACAATCAGCAGAACCTCAATTTTTTGAGGAATAACTATTAGAATAAGAAGAGCTTTCTTTAATGGGTCATCTGTAAACAATGGGGTTTCCCCCTCTGAAAGAACAGTATCAGAAATAAGTGAGTATGTTAAGGTATAAAAACTTCTATTTTAAACAATAGGTTATCCAATAACAAGCTCTAATTAGATCTAAAGACTATTATTAAGGACTTCTTTTTTGTAATAAAATGGTAGAGTCTCAAAATATTAAAGCAATTTCAGGTTTTTACTTGTATGATGATTATGGTTTTATATGCCCCATTAAGAAGCTATAACTTACCCATAAAATGTCTTAAAGTATTTTAAAGACTTTCTCCATATTACAAAAATTTAACATTAGTTATATTCCCTTCTTTTCCTCAAGCAAACAGATATATATAATCTTTCAAGCTAAAATGCTGAAAGTTTATTATTCTAAAATAAAACTGCTTACCATGATACCACCACTTTGTTTTCTTTGGATTCTTGTTACATGTTCGAACATAAAAAGAATTATCAGGTGGTCGTCTCTGAAACCAAAAAAAGTTTAAATAGATAAGTAGTTGTAAAATAGAAAAACATAAGGGAGAGATAGTTTTAATAAAAGCTTTAGTAAAACTATTATAACATGAATAAAAAAGCAATATAAATGATGATAGCATAACTAAAAGAAATTCTAGGGAACACAGATTCTTTTTCGAAAATATGTTTTATTGATTATGCTATTGGGAACACAGACTCTTGGCATTGAAACTGTTTTTAAAAAATAGGGGCAGGGTAGTTTGGGTTAGGCTCCAACAGGATTACTAGAAAATAACTATTAACCAAAAGTAGCAGCATTAGGTTATAAAAAAATTTGGTTTCATTTCTTATCTCACTAGAAATAATTTAATAATTTGTGAGCTAATTAAAACAGAAAAGTCTACCTAACTAGATTTGTCTAAGAAACTAATGCAACTCCACAAAGGATTATTGTTTTTCTGTAAGATAGTATCAGCAAGGACAGACCAAAGTATAAAAGTCCTGACTAGCACTATATTACAAATACATGGCAGCTCTGTAAGGGAGATACTCAGAAACAGTGATGCCAACACAGTAAAAGATAGATTATAGAATAGAATTTTTCCGAAAACTATTGTACATTTATGAGACACAAGAAACATGTGACACTACAAAGATCTGGAAACACATCGATCTGTAGTAAAGCCACTGACAGTAGGTTTGTAAATAATATGTTAGGTCCAACCAGAAAGCAGTGAGAAGAGAGCAGCACTACCTAGATAGCAGGAAGGAAAAACAGGCAGTCTACTTGGCATATCTAAAACTCACGTGACTATGAGGCTCTTAGTTGAGTCTCATAATGTCCCTCTGAGTTAGTTAGTAATTTAACAAAAGGGAAGAGAAGAGAGCATAAGATGTTCAACAATTATCCCAAGTTTACCCTGTTAATAACGTTTGAGGAAATTCCTGAAAAATTAGTATTATGAAATAGGATACCTGGCTACTTCAAAAAATAGATGATCTACTGTTGTTTATCCTGCAAAGTCATAAGCAGTGTTCATATGAAATAAACTGCTACTGTTTTGGCAAATAATTTCATAAATTACTTTTATGTGTGTATTTATTAGAACTCAATCAGGAAAAAACATTCTAAAAAGAAAAACACCACTTATATATACTTAAGTCAAGAATATAACCAAACTGGTAAGTGATCAAGGAGATAGGGTTCTTAGAAAAACTAAACTATATGATAAGGTAGATTATCAAAATTGACTGAAATGGAATATAGGCTGGGAATTTGGACTATCTATATTTTAAGGGCACTGAGAATAAAGGGTAGATTATTGAAAATTTTAAAACCTCTGGTCTCAATATCAGAAATTATCTTTAATCTACTGAAATATACTGACATAATATATTTAAATGCCTTTAGTTTAGGGAACCATTCTTGACTATGAAAAGGGAAACTGGAATAAAAGAATTATGACTAAGCCTTGGCTGGTGTAGCTCAGTGGATTGAGCGTGGGCCTGCGAACCACACAATTGAGGTTCAATTCCCAGTCAGGGCACATGCCTGGGTTGCAGGCCAGCTCCCAGCAGGGGACTCACGAGAGGCAACCATACATTGATGTTTCTTTCCTTCTCTCCTTCCCTTCCCCCCTCTAAAGATAAATAAATAAAATATTAAAAAAAAAAGAATTATGACTAAATCAAAGTTCTCAAATACCTATAGTAAAAATTAAAATGTATATTGAAAAAAGACTCTACTAGTAAAGTGACACTCATACAAACATGTCTACTATAGAATAAAATTTTGGTGAGAATATAAGACCTTTTAAAGTTTATTTGTAGCTAGGTCCCCTCAATGGGAAAGTTTCCTGTTTGTCTTTGTATCCTAGTACTTGACACAGTAAAAATAACCTAAATAATTACCAAAGAAATGTTTGCTGGATTTTATATTTCACAGAACTAATGCTGCCATAATTCTGACTTCCAGATAACTTATATTATACAATACAAATTATCAATAATTTAAATTAGTCATACTAAGTATGCAAGAAATAGCAAATAACTAGAATGTAAGGGAAATAGTAAAGCATAGAAAAGAATGAAGGAGGTAAAAAAGACAGTGATTTTCTAGTTTTTAAAAGTAAATCATTATATTTAAATGTAAACAAAGGTTAAAAACCATCAGGGCAATGCAAGAGCTATGTGCAGACTTCACTGTTATTCATCTCTTAACTTTTCCTATTCAATTCTGTTACTGCCTCACCTTTCTATAGACATTTAACATTAGCAGGGACATAGAAGCCCGTGTCACTGCAAACTGCTTTGCTCTACACTTGAAAGTTTAAAACTGGAATGTGTGCAGAGGGGCAGGGGGTTAAGGGGGGGGGAGGAGAAAATATGGAAGCAATAAATAAGACTTGTTTCCAAATTACTTGGAGTTAACAAAAACTCAAGTGTAGTCTTAAAATGCAGCTTAGAAAAGCCAACAGCAAAGAGGAAAGGGAAGTTAAAATGTGAGACTTACATTGGATATTACCACATTTCATCCCTTCTAAGATGTACATTTTTTCCTGAACATTTTAATGTTCCTGAATGGAGATATACACCTTTTTCATTTTTATTTTTAAAAAATATTTTATTGTTTATGCCATTACAGTTGTCCCAATTGTTCCCTTTGCCCCTTCTCCACCCAGTCTGCCCCTACTCTCCCCAGGAGACACATGTCTTTTAACTAATGGTGTGTCACAAGTTTAACTGTCAGCGTTACTTTCCTTTCTTATATGGTATGTAATACTGCATATTAAGGGCTCTTAACGTTATACTTTGAAAATATATAATTTAACCCATTATTTCCCATGACTAATTAAACAAAAACCACTCTCCCCCATTTTTAAAACTAACACCAAGAAACCTTTCACGAACTAATATTCTAAGAGACTTACTTTGCAAACAGTGATTTAAAGTATTTGAGTCTAGATAACCTACCATTTAAAAATAAGGTACTATATTAGAAGTTCTCTAAATACTAATTTAATAAAAAGGACAGTTCAATCTGGGGAATACAGAGGAAAAAAACCCTTCTAAAATAAGTAACTTCTCAGCTCTCTAATCTCAAAGGTCAGTTAGTTTCTTCTTTTAAAAAGAATTCAGAAGGAAATCCTTATGGAAAAGTGAGGCTTTAAAAAATGTAGAAAGAACTACATGAGCATTGTGTTACACTAAACCCTGAAGCAGGAATGACAAGAGGGTCAGGAATGCAGAGGATATAGGTACTTTTAAAAGGATATCCTAAATTTAACTCATGTGATTTTTCTTCTTGGTCTTTTTTTTCCTCTTCATCAGACAAAGAATCTGTGGATTTAGAAGGGAGAATAAGGAAATGCCCTAAAAATTGTACTAGTAATCTAGTCTTCCTTCTTCAACCTAACCATTATGATAGCAAAGCTCAGGTTCCCGGGAAATGCCCGGGAAGACAGTGACAGGGCGAGACTCAGCAGACAGGAAAGGGGAGGGGAAAAGGAAGAAACCCATGACTCTTGGTTTCTGGGACTTTCCACTGTGAAATCTAGAAACGAGAATTTCTTAAGACACTTTTATCCTGTGCATGTTTACAGAAATAAAATTCAGATTAATTAAGAACATCTGCAGAAATTTCCTGTTTAAGAAATATAAAATAATGACTTCTATTTGGAATGAAAACTTGTCAAAATAATTTCTTAATCTATTATTAAATAGATTGAGAAAAAGCACTGTGTTCTTCCTTTAAATAAAATGTACATTAAAATAGTTTGTCTACCTAAACTGAAAGAAGAGATATTACCTAGAATAAATCTGAAAAGTCCTACCTTTTCTTTGCAGCTGGAAAGCATGCTAATAATGCTAAGACAAACTGACTGGACAGAGAGCGCTGGGGACCAGTCTTCTGTTAGAATGGATAAACAGATATGACCATTGCTATAAACATGAGGATGAACGGGAATATTTTCACCAGTAAACATGACCTAAGAAAGAATAAAATTCCATTAACACTCAAATATTCTGTATTAACAAAAAAATAAAATATTCTCCATATAACTTAGTATTTTTAAAACCAAATACAAAACAAACATAATCAGTGCCACGAACAAGAAAAACAACTGCTTGTTTATTCTCATCAACTTATTAAGTATAGCTTTCACCGTACGGATGTGCGTGTTGTAGGAAAAAAATCCAAATCATCTGTTTTATATTTCAGCTATTTTTCACACATCCTTTAAAAAAATTTCCAAATTACCAAGCATTTTCAGACTAATAAAAAACAACTCTCCACTTACTAAAATGGTTTTTCAAATTCTACTCATTGCTCTCTATAGAAATCAAATACAATAAAATTCTAAACAGAAAGTACTCCATTTTGAGATGTGAGTTACAGCTGGTAGGAACACCCCTTCCACCTGTAACCACGTTATCACTCCAGGTGCTACATGCAAAAGGACATGATTGCTACGTATCCCACCTCCTCTACACTCACACATCCATTGTGATGGGCACAAATTACTAATTATTAATCAGTAAATAACTATGTGCCCAGTTGAATGAATCTCAATTTCTTGCTATTATCTCTGCCCTTCCTTTTACTAAATTCTTCTAACAGTTTTTCCTTTCTTCATCTTGCTTCAGCACTGTTTTAAAAGATAATAAATCTATTATTTCCATCCTTTGCCCTAATAATTCAACAAATATCCTAGTAGTAGTGTTTCTTATGTGTATGTACCTACATATCTGAATAGGTAGGAGAGTGAATTCACATATTATAAGGAATCTGTAAGCGTAGCCCAAAGTAGGTCATAGAAAGTATAAGTCTTATTTAAGAATATTTATTTCATAAAAATTATTTATTTTGATATAAAAATTAATTTACTGATCTTTAACCGAACTTTATATTGCGGTATAAAGTATTATTTTTATTGTTGTTTAGTATTAATTCCTAATTCCTGACCTTGTCCTAAAAAAATTACCTGAAGATCTGGCTAAAAATACAAATTCAAGGACCCCACTTTCAGATTCTGAATCAGTAGTTATAGTGGGATTTTTTATAAAACTCATCAAATACAAATCAGTGGTTCCCCAACACGACTTACAGTATCTTTCTCAATCCTGCAAAATGCCTCACACTTGAATATAACAGAATCTTAGAAAAATAAACTTTACCTTCAGTTAAAATAGAAATTGATGAAATATATATCACTCAAGACATACCTTTCCCTCTCTTAGTAAGAGAAGAGAGCCAAGTGAAGTTAACTGTGGCCAGAGTAAAGTATGCCATAGATTTAATATGGGACATGTTATGAAAAATGACCATAACCTAGGCTTTTGCTTTTATTTTTAAATAGCTACCTACATAGCTAATTTTATTACAATTTTACAAACCACTCTTTACATTTTAGTACATTAGTATCTACATTTTAACAAACCACTCTTTCATACAAGTAGGAGTTCTCTAATATTTCAAATACACTAACATATGGCACTCACTTTCTTCACCAAAGCTAATGTAAGACAGCAAAAAGGATTTTTTTCTCAAAGGAACGACTTCCTATACATTATTTTTTTCCATTAAATTCTAGCCATCCACCCTCTATTCACACTAAAGAGAACTAAAATAAAGCTAAAAAACAAACGTAAAGTCTCAAAATAAGACAGTCAATTATTTTCCTTGACTTGCCCTATTGCAGAAAACCCCTTTAAAGACTTTGGCGCACAGCTGTATTAGAAGCATGTCATTTATCTCAACAATATCTATCTAACAAAAAGGCTAATGCCTTTTTCATCACTTTTTAAACAATACTTAAAAAAACTGATTTTAGAGAAAGAGGAAGAGGGTGTGAAGGAAGGGGAAGGGGAGGGGGAGAGGGAGAACAATGAATATTAAACATTAACGTGTTGCTCTACTTATTTATGCATTCACTGGTTGATTCTTATATGTGTAAGATCAAATCTGCAACCTTAGCTCATCAGGACGACCCTCTACCCAAGTCCCAGGAGAGCCTTTTTCACCACTTTTTGCTAAAAGAAGTGCTGCTCTGCAAAAGGAAATGACTGCTTAAATGTTCTTACAGTTCCACACTTTGAGTTTATCCACAGTTAAGTTAAAATCTATTTTTATAAATATAAACTATAGTCTATTACCAAATGCATTTAACATTTCTACAATGTGTCATAGATGTTTACAGTGGATGTTAACAAACTTCACAAAATATGCTTCTGCTTTGGGGTATTCATTTTGCCAGAAAATGTCATTTGACCAGTAGGATATATTTATTAAGAACACAGCAATGCCCAAGAGTTTATTCCCTCTACCACAATTATTTTTTAAAGAATATTTCTTTTTCAGAAACATCTCTTTTTTAAGAAGTCAAATAAATAGTGCTCTTTAAGTAACAAAAAATGAAGAACTGCCAAATTACCTTCTTTGGTAAAAAAGAATCAATGCACTATCAACCATCAAGGAAAATACACAGATGGCCAAATACAATGGTTACCCTGGCATGCTTTGACCAGCTAATTCACAGAGCAGAAGGAAAGCAGTATTCCTAGAGAAATATGATGATCAAACTAAATCACTTGGCCTGGGAGCCAAGAAGAATGTACAAACCAAAAGGATATCAGAAGAGAAAGAAAAGGGACAAGTAGCAGTAGACACCTACAGCACAAGCAGCACACAGTCTACAAGCAGAGTCAGAAGTCAACAGAACAGCTTTGAAATCTGAGGGGACTGAAATAAAAAATCAGATTTCAATAACCCTATTTAAAGAAAAAAAAAAAGGCAGGGGGGCTTTTTAACATGCTACATGCAGGGCATATGCAGCCAGTCTGAAACTTTTAGCAACCATAAAAAAGGGGGAATGAATTAGTTGTACATAGTATAGGTAACTCTTTGGGTCTAACCTGCCAGATACAGAATTTTAGAAGTTTGTCTAAACATGGAAAGACTGAGTTTACATGTTAATGACGATGAATTCCCGATATTAAAAAAAAAAACAAAAACACACACACACACACAACTTTTCAACAGTTTATTCATGTAAAAGGCTGGTAAGTAGTTTCCACAGACTGTTTTAATGTAAACTTTCCTATTCTGGCCTCTGCATGTGATGAGGAGAGTAATCAAGGCTGAATTTCTTCAAGATCACTCTCTTAATCATCCTTATTTACTTAACCTGAAGAACAAGCCAAAGGAAGAAACGAACATTTTCAGTTATTTTAATGTAGTCATCTAGGTTCTGAAAACTTAAGAGATGAAGTTATTTTCAGAGTTCAAAAACTTTTTATTCGGAGTCCCAAGTACCTGACAAAACTATCTAAAACAAATCTGACAAGACAACTGAATACAATGAATTGGAAACCAAAAGGAATACATAAGAACAATTTATTTATTTTTAAAATAATTTATTCGGATACATATAGATTAAACAGCAGCTGGAGACTGTACACTAAACCAAACGACTAAACTGGAATCACAGATGTTTAAGAGCAAGCTATTTGATGGAAATAAAAGTTACAATTTAAAAAAAGGGTCTCAGCTCTAATGCATGTGAACAACACCTGAAGTTCTGAATCTGCTTTAGAAATAGTCCTCAGATGTATCTAAACTTCCAAACACCTCCCTATCAGCCTGGCTCATTTTCAAGAGCAGGTGATACCTAAGACAGAACTATGCTCAGGATCCATATAATTTTGTTAAGTATGCACATTCCACACACAACCTGAAATTTTTTCTTTTTTTTTTTTTAAAGATTTATTCATTTTGAGAGAGAGGAGAGGAAGGGACAAAGAGAAGGAGAGAAGTGCTGATGTGTGGTTGCCTCTCCAATGCCCCTAATTGGGGACCCAGCCCACAAACCAAGCGTGCGCCCTAACTTGGAATGGAACTGGCAACCCTTTGGTTTGCAGGCTGGCACTCAATCCACTGAGCTACAATAGTCAGGGCACAACTTGAAATTTTAAGCAAGCTAATCTCTGGGTAACTTTTAGGTACTGCATATACTGCCATAAAACTACTACAATCTAAACTGAAAGCCACCAATAGCGACAAAATAAAAGGAGTTTAGATAACTCCTCCCTAACATGAAATTAATGGTACTCATATGTAAGATTTCTAAAAATCAAGTTCAACTTCCCAATATTGATGACAAGGAAGGAGTACTACTCTGTTCAAACTAGTGCTCTAGAAGTAACTATAAAGTCAGATACCTAATTTCTTGTCAGGCTACTTTAAAACACAGCATATACAGAATGAATAGTACAAAACAGGCTATAATTATAAAAGCCAACTGATAACATAAGTACCAAGAATTCTCCAGGGACAATATGATTTTTTTCCCTGATGAAAATTATAAGATGACAATACTTAATGTGTAACTATAAAGCTGAACATATGAGTAAAGAGTTTACTGTACAAACTAAATCAAGTATCTAATTATGAATAGTATGTGATAAAAGGCAAGTCTAATATAAATGGCATATCTTTGACAAAAGTGACTAAGGATTAGAATTTTAATAGTTTTCAATTAATTCAATTCTTTCCTTTTGGTCATCTAGTATGAATTAGCAGCATCAATATTAATAGTTTTCCCAGTCTTTCATAACTGCCATGACCACAGAGCTATATATGTACTGCAAAGACAAAACTTCTGGATATAATGAAACTAAACTTGGGTTCTCATTCTCTCTGTTATGCCCTGTGTTGTTCTAGCCTAACAGTCTTCTCCTATATCTTCCCTCCACTTTACCTCCAAGGTTTTAATGAACAGGATGCACCATCCACTTTCACATGTCCTAGATACTAGGCAACTTAAGGCAATAGAAGTTGTTATTAAGACTTTGAAATGCTTAACCACCATAATATGAAAGAGCAGGGTGAATTAGACCACAAATGAAAGGATATAGACACTATAAAAATAAGTTCTGGATCTCTGAGTGAGGGAGTTTTTGAGCAACGAAACAAAAAAAGATCTATGTTAAGGGGGAATGCACAGGAGGGGAAATATGGGTGAGGGGCAAATGATTACTCTTTTTTAAAAGTTTGTAAAACTTAATCACAGCAAGTGTATTTTCAGCTCTGCTCTTAGCATTAATATGATTTCAAAATTAAATACGCAGTATCCTCTTCCTCCTAAAAACATATTTCCCTTCCTATTTCTAAAATGCCTAAAATTTCTTCAACAAAATTATTTGAAAGCTTAACAACAAGTATAATTGGAATAGTTACAAGACAATGTAGAGGTGTTTCAGATGTTTGTTTCCAGGTTGGATGCTCTGACAGAGGAAGAGGGTCTAAGATAGTGGATTTTTGCAGGAAGCAAAAGCTATGATGTGAACAAAGAGGTAAAAAGGAAAAGAAATACTAGGCTTGAAGACTATATAGTTTTGATGTAGACTGACTGTACCACCTAATTCCTTTGAGATGAATTTCCAACTCCTTCACATTACTGTTTTGATAGGTCCCCAGATATGCTCTCCCTTTCATCCCCTGTTGTAGTCCTCCATGATCTACACACAAAACTATAATATATGCTCACAAATCTCAGTAACAACCATGTTCTCTCATGCTTTGTCCCACTTCTGACATCAGCAAATCCTGTTCACTCAATGTTTAAAACAGATATAAAATATGGTGCCTTCCATGACCTCCACTGCTATCCTTCCTGGACTTCGGACTTCTTCAATAGTTTATCTGGTTTCCCTGTCAGTCAATCTGCCCCCAGCAGTCAATCTGCCACACAACAGCCAGCTTTTTACCTTTTAATTTCAAGTAGGATATCATTTCTCTGCTGAAAATCTTCAAATGTTTTCCATGTCATTCAGAGTAAAATTCAAAATTATTACCAATGGGCTATAAATGCCCTATACAACCTGTGATGAATCCTCCAGGCCAAATTACCTCTGACCTATACCCATCCCCTCTAGTTTATGGACCACTCTGGGGACCACTCCAGGAGCACCAGATTCAGGGCCTCTGGATTTTGTAGTTACTTGGTCTTCCTCTCTCATCTTTCACAGGGCTCACTCACTACTTTCAGATCTCTCTCCAATGTCACCCTTTTTTCCGTTTTTCATACTGTATTTTACTTACTGTTTATTGTCTGTTTCTTTCTACAAGAATGCAAAGTACACAAAAGCAGGCTTTTTTTTTTTTCCCAGTTTTGTTCACCAATGAATCACCAATACCTAGGTACAAGGTCTATTCTATGCTATGTGCTCAATAAATACTTTAAAATGAATGAATAAATGTCTACCTATCCAAATACTACACAGATTACAAGGCAGAACCAATGCTTTTATTTTTATTTTTGAGAGAGAAAGAGAGAGATCGATTTGTTGTTCCAATTATTTATACATTCACTGGTTGATTCTTGTAGGTGTCCTGACTGGGGCTCAAACCTGCAACCTCGATGTACAAGGACAACACTCTAACCAACTAAGCTACCCAGCCAGGGTGGAAGAACCAATGCTTTTTAATTTCTGTACTCTCTCCAATCTCTAAAGTACAGATTACTGGCACACAATTCATGCTCAATACATGTTAAATTAGCCAACCATTTACCTGATTCCTAACACAGAAAAGCAGCATGTGAGTTTATAAAAATTTTATTTTCTGCCCTGGCTGGTGTGGCTCAGTGGATTGAGCGTGGGCCTGCAAACTAAAGGATCGAGGTTCGATTCCCAGTAAGGGCACATGCCTGGGTTGCAAGCCAGTTCCCCGCAGGGGACGCATGAGAGGCAGCCAGGCAACCATACATTGTTATTTCTCTCCCTCTCTCCTTCCTTTCTCCTCTAAAATGATGGATGATCATCAGTGCACATTAGTAGAAACCAGTAATGAAAAGGTGTCTCATCTTGGTTCCTGTATTGACTGAAAAAGGTTTTCCTTGTTGTTATTGCTTCTTTTAGAGTAAATGGCTGAGCAAAACACCATATTTTAGATAGGTAGCTTTTTCACAATGAAGTGAAACAATGTGATTAATTAATTATAACTAGTAGGGGAAATAACACAGCAAACTATAAAGTTTATATATGGTCTTACAAATCTCACAGATACAAAAGTAATAATTTTATAATGAGATGAATCTATTCTAGGCACATTTTTCCAAATTCTTCTTTTGTAAACAGTGGTAAATTTAGCACTGCACAGGAGAATGAAAGACTATCTAACCAGTGCCAGGGCTGCCAAGTCTCATCAAATACTGCTCCACAGTGGTTCCGATCATTGCCCCAGAGCAATGGACCTCTGGAAAGTTTGTTATTGCAAAAATCTTTAAATCTACATGCATATCAAGCATTTCGTTAAACCCGTTATTAATTACAATATAACCACACAGATGGTGTGATTAAAAATAATTTTAAAATATTACTGGACTCAGAGTAGCTCTGTCATGTTCTTAACCATGAATATTAAAGTGTCCTTCTATGACATGGGAGAGACTATAGAATTAACTGATGTTAAAAAAAGAATTCTCATAGTCCAAAAGATTGGGAACAAGTGCCCCAGAGCTTTCAAAGGCATCATTCTACATATGATCTTTGTCTTCCAGAGGTAACAGTAATGAATGGATAAAGAGGCATTTTCCCCATGCTGGCATTCACTCCTAACTGGCAGTATAAGAGAGAAGTAGCATGGGTCTGAGTCATGACTATTCTACTAGCTAGCTTTTAAACCACAGACAAAACACTTCACTTCTATAAGTTTCAATTTCTTCACTTACAAAATGAGGGTGAACCCATCTCCTCCTAACCTCTTCATTAAGAGTTGTTACAAGATAAAAATCAAGGTGGATGTTCCATTATAATGTATGATATAAACATTACTGTATAGTAGAACGCATGGAAGTAATATGTGACTGAAATGATTAAATTTTGACTTGACCATGAAGGGACCTAAATGCTAAGTTAAAGAGCTTTTAGACCTGACAGGAAATAATGAACCATTAGAGGTTTTAGTGAGGAAGGTGTGGGATGGTGGTTCTGTGTGTACATGTGAAAACCAATGAGGTAATTTGCAATTTCCAAGAAATCAGATGACACTGTAAAAGGATGGCTAGGAGTAAAGAGAACTAAGCTATTCTGTAATAGTCCAAATGAAAGATAAAGACTTGGACTAGGGCACTGACAGTAAGATAAGAAATGACTGCAAAAAAATCCGAAAGACTGCATTCAAGAGTGAGAAAAAGGGACAATTTTTAACACCAGCAGAGAGGTGGACAGTAAAACAAGAAAACAAATTTCCCTTTATCTTGTAATTGAAAAAGATGTATTAAATTTGAGACATCTGGAGTTATTCAAATGAAGTTGTTCAAGAAGGGTGTGAAATTAAACCTCAGAAAGAACAGGTTGTACACAGAACTCTAGATCTGGGAGTCAGCTACTTAAGACAGTTGAAGAAGTTAGAGAAGAGAAAGATGAGTGAGAAGAGTGAGGGAGACCTAAATAAAGAACTTGGAGAACTCAAAAATCAGAAGGGTGGGCGTGATCACAAATGCCCATACTTACAGAATTATTAAAGATGAAATACAAAAGATGCTTAATTTGGAGACTTGATTTAGATATAAATACTAAAGATCAGAAAACCTTTTGGCTTACTTTTATGTTGAGAAAAAATAGTATTTTCCTCTGGTGAAACATGTATGAGCTCCCACAGTAAGCCTCCAATATCTCCCTAGTCAAAACCTTCCAAGTTGGTTAGTTGTATTTTTCCTTCATATAACTGAGACTCTGTTGTCTTTAAACATTAACAGTCAAAAATGATGCTAATAAGCCAAAAGGCAACACCAGAATATGAAGATCATCTTCTGGAGAGAAAGAAGACATTTACTTTTGTTTTTGATTATGTCTAATTCTACTAGTCTATGGTATATTCTATTTAAAGTGGTGATGAGATATGATTTTCCTTAAAAATAGCTTATTTTAGCATGCAACAAGTTTAATTTCAAGTATTTGGGAAATTTCATCATCCAGAAAACCTCATTACCTAGCAACACTAGACAAGAGTTGGCATTAACTCTTGTCATTTTGCCACTAACAAGTAACTCATTTACCTTTACCAAGCCAGAAATTCAGAAGTCAACCTGGAGCTTCCCATTCTCTAACCTCCAACGACTGATCATTTACCACAATTAAACAGCTCTCAATCTTATTTAGGAACAAGTGCCTAGTTATTCCAGAATGCTAAATTCTTCTACAACCCATGAGCTTGAGTTAGATTTCCATCCCCCTTTTTACTAACGTCTATGGATAAGAAAGTCTTAAGTTCTTAGAAATACAAAAGCGGCAAAGCCTTCATCTCAATAATGTACTGATAAAATGTTCATAAGATCTTGATTATATTACAATAAGATAAATAAATTTGTTTACATAATTATAATGAATTTATTTTGCAAAGTTTTTCTTAGTCGAAAATCACTAATTGAGCATTTTGCTATAATCTAAAAATACAATGAAATTTAAAAAAGCAAGGCAATTACCTGAGGAGAGTCAAAAGGATATCGACTACTAAACTTAAATAGAAGTTGAAATTTTTCCCCTTCATATAAGGTACCTGGGGCACCTTCCATGTCTACAATCCACCTAGAATAGAAACAACAACAACAACAAATTAAAAACTTCAGATAAAAGAAATTGGGGTGAGAAGGACAAAAGGGAACACCAGAAACTTCCTCTGTGCCAGGCACTGGGATAGGTGCCATTCATGTGTAGCAGCACACTCCTTCCTCCCAACAATCATAAAAGAAGGCATTCACACACCTGGCCATATTCCCTTCTCTGCCACGCAGGGGTTAAATAACGAGATCAAGGTTGGACAGCTAGCAAAGGACAGAGCCAAATTTTAACCCAGGTCTGGAAAAAACAAAATAAATAATGAAAAATGAAAAACAAAACAAACAAACAAAAAGCAAAATAAAACCCCAACTCAGGGATCTGACACAAAAGACTGTGATCTTCGTACTTAATTTATACTAACTTATTTTTTTTAGACTGTTTCTACAATGACTAAAAAGATTTTATAAATAACATCAAACTAATCAACTGCCATTCTAGTATTCATTACTGTAGAAGCAATGGGGGAAGTAGGTATCAGCAATGACTAAAGAGAATTGCAGTGATCAGTATACTAAGGAAGACTAGGAAAAAGAAAGCTAAGCTGATATGGGTCCACTTACTCTGACAGGTATTCAAACATCTGTATGACATTTCCTTTGTCTCCCGTTATATTTCAGTTGTTTAATAAAACCCTGAATAGATTTCTATGGCATCTATGCAAGCTTATTCTGTTTCCATACATAAAAACCATGAATATAAAATTGAGATATAATTAGGAACTCATTCTTATGACTATGGTCCACTTTGCTTCCAAATGCTACCCAATCATCTCTGCCATCATAATCTCTATTTCTCTGCTCCCAACTTCCTCATTTTTGTAAAGTAAGAGGGTAGTGTACAGAATATACTTATATTTCTCCCAGTTATAGTAATTATTGTATACATGGCAACTTCCTTTAATCTTATGCTTTTCAGGTATTAAAAATGTATTATTCTGAATACCAAGAAACAAAAGGAAGTAAGATGAGAATACAGTTTGGGGGTTCTTACCCCTTATAGTATGTTAAGAGTATATAAAATAATAAATGTTCCAAATCTCTGAAAGCAAAGGTAGCTAATGCAAACAGACTCTTTCTTAAGAGCTTGACTATTCATTTTCAGAATGCAAGCTGAATACCATAGGTGGTAAAAAACATATGACCACAGACCCGAGAGGCAGTATTTTACAGTGAAATTAGATAGACTTGTCCCTTAACTACCTGTGTGGCCAAAAGAAAGCTGTTCTACTTCTCCCATTTTAAATATTTCATTTGTAAAGCAGCTATTTCCAAAAAAGGATATTCATTCCTAAGTGTTGTTGGAAAGATACATACCATTACATATGAAAAAACCCCCAGCATATTCCTGACATCAAAGCAAGAACACAGCAAATTATATACAATGCAAAAGCTGCATTGAAAAACAAAATATAAAACCTATTCTCTTTTCAAACTAGGTAGGTCCTTCCTGGTCATCAAAATTCCTTTTTACTCCTGCAGAGAGATATTCTGAGGAAAACTCAGGACTTCCTGGTGCCTTTTCATTTTGTTTATTAGGCAATTTTTTGAACATACAACATACCACAAATTTTCATGTGATCTACCTAAGTACAGCTTTTAAATAGCTAAGTAAACACCTCAGTAATCCTTCCAATAGCTGGGTGAGAAACAGGTAAAAAAGGGCATAATTTTAATTGTGCAGTATAATTTTAAATAACATTTTACTAATTAAAAAGTAGAACATGTTCACTACAGAAAACTTAGAAAAAGTACAAATAAAACAAAAATCACCCATAGATAATTATTACTGTTAAAAGTTTTGGGGGTACATTTCATACTAGTCATTTAGCAGTTTCTTTATCAATTCAAATCATCAATGTTTATGATTTTAATCACAAGCACACACCCCAGAGTAAGGATGAAATGGGAGAATTTTCAGTTCTTGAACTTATGAGTAGCTATTGCTCTATGATCCTAATTTTAAATGTATATTTTTTCCCACACATTTATGACTCCTAATCAAAGAAACAGCCAACTCTATTCCTCTCTGAAGGGAAAACTAGCTTAGTTGAGTATATTAAGACGGGATACATACCGATATGGCCTAAGGGATTTTCAAGAGCAATTATGACTACACCAAATTTTTGCCTTACTTGAGGACTACAGACTAAAACTCCAGGGGTGCTGTTTCACTATACTACCTCGAGAAACCATTTCCCTATTATCGACATTTACATTGCTTTCAAATTGCCCCTAGAAATAATGTTGAAATGAGTAGAGTTGACCCTGGAACAACATGGGTTTGAAATGTGCATATTATACGTAAAGATTTTTCAATAAAAATGTATAGTACTGTATAATATGTTCTTTTCCTAATGATTCTCGTAATAATTTTTTCTCTAGCTTACTTTAATGTAAGAATATAGTATATAATACATATAACATACAAAATGTGTGTTAATTATTTACACTATTGATAAGGCTTCCAGTCAACAACAGGCTATCAATAGTTAAGATTTTGGGGAGGCAAAATTTTTATGTGAATTTCTGACTACATGGGTGCTGGTACTCCTAACCCCCACACTGGTCAAACATAAACTGTAGTTAGTTCTAAAGTCAGTCTATCTCTCTGTTCCTTCCTTAAAATAGCATAAAGGTTTATTAGGTCAAAGGATAAAATACACATTTTTAATGGTCTTAACACATGCTACCATAATGTCTTCCAAAAAGCTTAATATGCTTTCATCATCTTCCTTATCCATATCTACATCCCATACAATCCCATTTAACTGTTTTAAGTTCTGATATTTATAAGACTATTTTTATATACTGGATAATGGGCCAAAGATAATAACACTTTTGTGATTCATTTACAATATTATTTAAAAATAAAATTACTGCCTGACAAAATCCCTAAATGACAGGTTTATTCTAGGATAATGCTGTTCTCAAAAGAAACATCAACAAAATGCCAACCAACTAATGGGAAAAGATATTTGCAAATGATAGCTCTGACAAGGGGTTAATATACAAAATATATAAAGAACTCACAACTCAATAATGAAAGAATAAACAATCCAATTAAAAAATGGGCAAAGGACCTGAGCATACACTTTTCCCAAGAAGACATATGGATGGCCAACAGACATATGAAAAGATGTTCAACTTCACTAGCTATTAGGGAAATGCAAATTAAGAACCATGATGATACACTACCTCACACGTATTAGAATGCCAATTGTCAATAAGACAAGAAGTAAGTGCAGGTTGTGGAGAAAAAGGAACTGTCATACACTGCTGGTGGGAATGTAAATTGGAGCAGCCTCTATGGAAAACGGTACAGAGCTTCTTCAAAAAATTAAAAATAGAGTTACCACCCTGACCAGTATGGCTCAGTTGATTGGGAGTGCTTCTGTAAAGCGCAAGGTTGCTGGTTCGATTCCCAGTCAGGCCAGATGCCTGGGTTGTGAGTTTGGTCCCCAGTTGGGGCACATACAAGAGACAACCAATTGATGTTTCTCTCTCATGTTGTATTTCTCTCCCTCGCTTCCCCTCTCTCTAAAAATAAATAAAAAAAATATTTTTATAAAGAGCATAGTTACCACTTGACCAGCAACCCCCCTTCTTAGGTATCTAAACAAATTATTTGTAAAGATATATGTACCTCTATGTTCACTGCAGCATTATCCACAGTGGCCAAGACATGGAAACAACCTAAGTGTCCTTCGTCGAATGACTGGATAAAGAAAATGTGGTGTGTATGTACAATGGAATACTAGCCACAAGAAGATGAAAAACTGCCATTTGAGACAACATGGATAGATCTTGAGAGCATCATGCTAAGTGAAATAAGTCAGATGGAAAAGGACAAGAACCATATTATTCCACTCATATGTGGGGTATAAAACAAAAAGCAACAAAACAAACAAACAAAGAAACAAACAAACAAACTCACAGACAGACAACAGCATGGTGTTACCAGAGGGGAATTGGGATGAAGCAGGATGAAGAAGGTAAAAGGGTCAAATATTTGGTGACACAAAGAGACTAGATTTTGGGTGGGGGAATATATAGATGTTTTATTATAAAGTTGTATACATGAAATGCACATGATGCTATTAACCAATGTTACCCCAATAAAACTGATTTTTTAAAAAAGGTAATGCCATTTTGGGAGTTATACTTTGTAGTTATTATTTGTGAAAACGCAAACCATTCCTTTAACTCTGTATAAATCACTATGTTGTGTGGTTCCCCTCCACCCCCCAAAAAAGTATAGTTGAAAGAGAAAGGAATAGATTAATACCAATTTCCTTGAGAACTGTAAGGCTAGCTGTTATAGGATATTCTGAAGTAGCTTAACAAAGGAAGACAAGAAAAAGATGAAAGCAGAGTATAATCCATTTGTTTAATTACATAGAACAAAAAAAATCCCTTGTTTAATTATATAGAAGAAATGTACATACACATGAAATATGTGTTTCATTCCCAACTTTTGATATAAATGAAAAATGAGAGCCATAAAACACATGGAAGAACCTTAAATACATATTACTAAGTGAAAGAAGTCAATCTGAAAAGGCAACATATTATGCAATTCCAACTATATGACATCTTGGAAAGGGAAAACTATAGAAACAATCAAAAGATCAGTGGTTGCCAGGGGTTTGCGGAGCCAGAGAGAGGGAAGGATGAATATGTGGTAAACAGATAATTTTTAGGGCAGTGGAAATACTCTGTATGATACCATAATGACATACATGTCATTATACATTTGTCCAAATCCACATAAAGTTTAACACCAAGGGTGAATCCCAATGTAAAGTTATAGACTTTGAGTGATTACGGTGCATCAATGTAGATTCATCAATTTTAACAAATGTACCACTCTGGTGGGGGTTGTTGATAATGGGTGCATGTGTGGGAGCAGAGGGTAAATGGGAAATTTCGCTACCTTCTGCTCAATTTTGCAGTGAGTCTAAAAATGCTCAATCAACTGAGAATCCAGGAATGTTTAAAAAAATTGTTACAAAACTAGAGATGCATTATTACATTTTCAAACATCAATATATCTATCCAAACATCAACATTATTCATTCTCTGTATTCCTGTTCTTAAAGCTTGACTACTGTATTAACGACGCAAATGTCAATGTGAAAGGCAACCAAAATTGTTTCTTCTGAAAGGATGAGTATGTCCTCCCACTGTATAAATTTAGGTCACTTTTACTCTCTGGAACTAGACTATCACTGTATTTGAATGGTTATATTTGTCCTACAAGTAGGTGTATAGTAAATTTCTATCTTGTTGGCTCCTCTCCATTTTATGTTTTTGGAAGTTTATTTGTTTAAGGCTATGGTCAATTATTTAAAAATTTCCCCTATTTCAGAACATTTACTCTTATCTAACAGAATTATTAAATCAAAGGAATGGTGAAGAACTGACCATACTGGGCTATGAGATCTTAGAATGATATTCTTGAAAACATTTCAAACTAATTCAAACTCACTTTTAAGAATAGGGACCTGAATCTCTATTCTTCTTAGTATCCTACCTGGGAAAAGCCTTCTACTCCACTCCCAAGGAAGGAGCTGAACTGGAACACTTGTGTTCCCTTCCACCCTTCATTTTTTCATGCACAGAGTAAGTTAAGGTCTGTTAACTATATTTACCCCTTAGCGGAAAAAGAATGTGATGGAATATGAAAATAATTCTGTATTAAAAAAAATAAGTATACATTCATACAGAACATTGGTGAAGAAACAAATAAGTACTTTAAAAATTAAATACTTACTGTGTAATTGAATTTTGAACACTCTTTTCATTTAAAGTCATCCCAGGAGGTGGGTCATTTTGCAAAGCCAACAGTTCTTTCTGCAGTCGTTTCTAGAAAAAAATATCAGTAACTTGTACTTTTTTGTTATAATAGTCTCCTAGTGATAGTCTAAAATCCTCGATTAAATTTCCTCCAAATACTCCTACCTTTTCCTTTATAAACCACCTTATATCTTCTAGTATATATATGCCTAATATTCAAATTTTCAATTGCCTGTATTATTAATTCACAACCTACTGTCAAAGTGTTTCTAAATATATTTATAAAAATTGGTACTGTAAAGTCGTTATGAAGACCAGCTACCTACCTACAAAACTTCACAGCTCCTTCAGAACTGAAGTTATGAGGTCTCAGCCTAGGTTGTAAATGCTGAGTTTCAGTAGTGCTTCTTTTACTGCTTTTCAATGATAAATACCATAGTTCCCCATAACACTTAAAGAACATGTCAATTCAGACACACGAGCTTTCCAGAGGAACTATACAAGTAACTTGTCATGAAAAAGCCTTTTGAAAAAGTTTTTAATAGTTTTAGCTTATAATTTACAGACCATATTTGTTTTAAGTATGATCGTCTACACATAATTTAATCTTTCAACAGCAGAATGTAACATATCAGAGCCCAAGATATACAGACTTATTTTCCCACATACTAGATACCCCAAAATTATTATGTATTTGGCATTTTTGTTTGTACAGCCTTTACTGTCCACTCTCCCATTAGTGGACATTATTTGTTAGTATACAACAAAAAAAACACAGATCATAATTTATGCCTTTAAAAACCAAATAATCAGTACTATTAGAATTGTATGCAACATTATACATACATACATACAAAAATACATATATATATATATATATATGATTCTGAATAAATGTCTTTTCTTGGATTAAACTAAACAAGCATGAACATCTGTTTAGAACTCAAGAATTCGCTGCTTAAAAGCTAGTATCTGCTTTTTCTGGACAGTCAAATATTACTATCAGTATAGCAATGTTTCTACATCTTTTCAATAGATGACACCTTTATATAAGCTCATCATCATCCAACACCACGACAGCTTAGAAACTCCTCCCCTTCTTTGTTGAGAAATAACAGAACTTGAATAAATGGCTCTTTAAGTTGTTAAGAATGAAAACTTTTCCTCAGATCTTACACTACCGTAATTGCTAGTAACAATGAAAATGAGCTATCAACTATTTACAATTTCTCACTCCTCACATTCTGACCCAACCCCACATTACCCAGCAACAGGGTTTACCTATTTTGCTGAATATATCACATTATTTTGGTATAACAAACCCCAACTCATCTTCAGTGCTGGCATTATTTTGGCTAACATTTCCTGCTTCATGTGCTCTTAAACCATCTTATATAACACCTCATTGAAACCAACTTAAAAACTTAAGAACCAATTTCTCCAAGTTCTCATAAAATAAAAGCATGGCCCAATAATAGGTCTGCAGACACTTTGCATAGCACAGTGCTAAATCATGCCATTTCATACCAATGATGTGATCTTTGCCTCTTTGGCTGCTTTTTCAGACAGCTGAAGATGATAAATATGACAATAAAAAATGTACTAAGATGATTTTTTTATAGTGAACATCACAGTTTAAGTTGAAGAATACCATATCAAATAAAATACTATTTATTTTTAAAAATTTAAATAGCATCCTGCCCTGGCCCATGGGGCTCAGTTGTTTAGACACCATGCTATAACTAAAGGTTGTGAGTTTGATCCCTGGTCGGGGTGCAGAGGGGAGGCAACCAACTGGTGCTTCTCTCTTGCATCAATGTCTCTCTCCCTCTTCCTTCCGCTCTATCTAAAAGCAATGAAAAAATGTCCTCGGGTGAGGGTTAAAAAAAAAAAGTTAAAAGAAGCACCCTAACAAGGCCATTCATACCTAAACAAGTTCAGCTTCTAAACTAATGCATTTCTCTAAGTATTACCCCACATTAATATGTGTTAAAACCAAGGCACAAGAAAACTAAATGATTCTCCTGTGGTTATAAATCAGAGTCCAGAGTGCTACCTAGTACACTATGGAACCTCTGGTGGTTATAAATTAAAATTAGAACAGAATATATCCCTCTTAGACAGTAATAATGGTAATACATAAAAGGACATACTGACAAGATTTCTGGACTTGTAAAGCTTAAATTCTAGTGAGGGAAAAGACAGTCAATAAGTAATAACAAAACAAGTACATGGTATATTAAAATTTGATGGGAAATGGATAAGTTAAATGGGTAGAGAGGCCTCACATCTTGGGAAGTTTTATCTCAAAGTGACAATTTGAGAAACTATTCTAAAAGACAGAAATGCTTGTTTAGCATAAGGAGAGATAGAAATGAGGAATAAACATCAAGAATGTAGAGCTATGGCCCTGGCTGGTGTGGCTTAGTGGATTGAGTGCTGCTGGCCTACGAACCAAAGGGTCACAGGTTTGATTCTCAGAGCATGTGCCTGGGTAGCAGGCCAGGTCTCCAGTTGGGGGTGAGCAAACGGCAACCACACATTGATGTTTCCCTCTCTTTCTCCCTCCCTTCCCTCTGTCTAAACATAAATAAATAAAATCTTTTTAAAAAGGCAGAGCTATGTATATGATGTAACAATACATAAAACAGCCAACAATGTTTTTCTCCAATTTCATCTAACCCAACAAACTACAAGTGAAAGTTTAACAAACAGGGCAGCATGGCAGAGAAAAAAGTTTGGTACATATTAGTATCATGACACTAACAACCACCATTTTCCCAATATTAAGAAATGAGCCCTGGCTGGTATAGCTCAGTGGACTGAGCACAGGCCTGTGAACCAAAAAATCTCGGTTAGATTCCCCATCAGGGCACATGCCTGGGTTGCAGGCCAGTTCCCAGTAGGGGCACATGAGAAGCAACCAGACACTGATATTTCTCTCCTTCTCTTCTTCCCTTCCCCTCTAAAGATAAATAAATAAAATCTTTAAAAAAGAAATATTATAATAATAGCCATTTGTTTCTCTTTGTTCAGAGTGGAATGATAAGGAATAAATTTTTATTTTAAAATACTGATTCATGTGTATTAAGGAAAGATTTTCTTTCGTACTGAATTCTAAGTATGCTTCCATAGGCCTTAACTCCTAATAGTAACTTACTGAAACTTTTCCCCCTTAGGAAATAGAAGCCTTCAGTAAATAGAGGTATCCATTCTTACTTTAAATTGACATCTTCAAGAATCAGATCGAGATACACAAAGTGAAATGACTAAATGATTAGTGTTTTTTTATGAGACTGTAGTCTAAAAAGAGAGACAAATGCATAAATCACTTCTACATGCTTTCAGGGTATAGTGGTGCCCAAAAGGAGAAAAACCAGGCCTGTGCTATAGGGAAAGCCAAAGAATGTGTTTCAAAGACTAAGAATTTAATTTCCAGCATGGTGGCAGAGAACACATTCTAAATAATTTTATAGCAAACAAAAACAAAGTGAAGGCAGGAACTCTGAAATTTTGCCTTGGGGGTTTCTACCAAACCAAAGGGGGGGGGCAGGGAGGGAAAACCAAAAAGTGAGGAATCTAACAGAAGACCAACATAAAACTATAACCCCTCAGTGTAAGGGTGCAGGAAGCAACAATGAAATCTGCCTGTTGTGAACTCAGCAATGAGTAGAAGAAAAATAATTCTTCCATGAAATGTCATATCCTCAAGTGGATACCTACAGGGTTTGGCAGTCTGCATTCCTTCTACCAGAAAACCTTAGGCAAAAAAAAAAAAAGTCAATCAAAACTGGTCCAAGAAACAATGTGTCAGGCCAGAATACAACTTCTAGTTCTATCTTTTGAAGCAACAATTTCAATTCTCAGAATCTAGAAAGATACATAAAAGAATTTAAGGATCAAATAAGAAAATATTCAGAAAACAATGGTATGCAACACCTGATGTGATAAAAATCTATCTTCTCTAAATCATCTTTCCTACCTAGAAAAGCTCTAGGTCCCCAATTAATTTACTTAATGTCTTGCAGCATTTATATAACTATGAACAACTCTAAGGCAGAGATTATGATGTATTTTTGTATTCCTAGCATTCAAAACGGTGCCTGGCACATGTTTTTTGCCTCTGTAAATGTTTCAAAAAAATTAATGAAGATGTTGACTGATTCAATGTTTGTAAGAGAAAAACTTGGCAACAATACATGTCCTTCAACAGGTAAGTTATACAAATTATGGCATATGAAAACAAGAGTACTGCAACTATAAAGAATTATGTGGGGTATTCTGGCCAAGATGGAGGTGTAGGTAGATACTGCACACCTCCTCCCACAACCAAAATAAGGATAACCACCAATATGAAAACAAACAAACAAACAAACAAACAAAAAAACCAAACAGAACTTCCAGAAAATTGATCTGTATGGAAGTCCAACAACCACAGAGCTAAAGAAGAAAAATTGATGCAGACTGGTAGGAGGGGTGGGAGATGGGCAGCCAGAGTGCAGAGGAGGCATAGCAAGGCCTCAGCTGGCAGACTGGGAGGGATAGGCGACAACTGGAGGACCAGGGTTCCATATCTGCGTGGGGAAAAAAACAGGAGGAACAACTGGGGAGTGAAGACAGACAGCATAATCCAGGGTTTCAGTCCAAGAAACTGAAGCCCCAAAACCTCTGGCTGTAAAATCCTGTGGGAGTTGTGGTGATTGGAGAAACCTCCAGTCTCACAGAAGAGTCTGTTGGAGGGGCCCATGGGATTCTAGAAAGTACACTAGCCCACCCACCTGGGAATCTGCACCAGGGCAACACCTGAAAGGGAATAATCCACTTGTGGGTAGCAGGGAAAGTGATTGAAAGTGGGTGAGAGCTGAGCAAGCGGTATTGTTCCCTCGCTGACGCTCCCCCATATACAGTGCCACAACACAGCAATGTGGGTTGCCCCACTCTGGCAAATACCTAAGGCTCCTCCCTTTACAATAACAGGTGTGATGAGACAAAGAAATACAGCCCAAATGAAAGAATAGAGCAAAACTCCAGAAAAACAACTAAGTGACAAGAAGATAGCCAATCAATGT